TTACTATTTCCTTTACTCTGCTTTAGGTGCTTTATACCAAAAAGTTTATATACCATGAGTTTAAGTGAAGTTCTGCAAGTACCATCCGGTACAAGCAGAGACTCATGGTCCAAAGGGTCAGAAGATGCCGGAGATTCCTGTTCAGTCACCATCCTTTAGAATGGCTCAGACAGAGGCAGATGAGCAAATCCACCCCCTGAGTTGCTTTTTCCTTGGATCAAATACGCATGAGGGCAGCCTATCATTGGGTGGGTAATTCATTTGGGAATGGATACCATGCAGTGGGAATGTAGGATGCAGAGATCCAGGGTTATAGGAAATTGACTGTTGTGCAATATTTGGAGACCTTAGTTGAAGCTGAGATCATACACAGAGCTTGCTGCTATGGGAGTCCCAGCTAGTAAACTCAAAAGAACCTCTGGCTCATTCAAGATTCCAAGATAATCTTGCTTGTTTCTCCACAATGACATTTATTAATTACCAGGTATACCATGCTGTGCTTCGAATGTATTAACTCATATAATAACCACAACAACCTTGTGAGGTAAGTATCATTACTCTTATTGTTATTTTACAGTTCTGCAAACTGAAGCACAGAAAAAATATTTTTCCCTACCATATAATATTGTTTGCCAGCACTGGATATATTATAAACTGGCATATGAGAACGCTGAATATAAAGATAACAGGCACGAAGGGGTGACTTTGGAAAAGCATAGGAATCACTGAATTTTATAGACATGTCCAAAGTGAATCTTCTCAGCATCACACCACTATCCATGGGGGGAGCATCAGGATGAGAGAGAGGTGAGTGAAACACTCACCCTTGGGTGCAAAATGTAAGGACTCTGAAAAACTCAGTAATCAAGATGCATGATATTTTAATGCAATATTTAAAATTTTAAAATTAATGCAGAAATATGTTATGCACAAAATATCAAAATTTTAAATAAAGATGGGACTATTATTATTAGTTTTTCCTTCTGTCTCTGCCTCCAGTATGGCCTGGCATGGTACTGGATGGGAGACCTGAACTTGAATGCTGTGTCTGAGCTCAGAACCCAAGCTTGTAACTGTTGTTTGCTGATGTTTGTCAGGATTTGAAAGATAAAGAAGAGTCTGATATAACTTGAGGAATGTAAGACTGATGGTCAAGGATAATGGTGAAAACATGGACTTGGTTCTTTAGGAGGAAAGCAGAGAAAATGACTAGTTTCCCATGTATGTTCCCATTTAGAAACTTAAGGATCTGTATAGTTTGGCTTCAAAGACAGAGCACCAATAAAAATCTTATTTAACATTAAACTCTTCCTTGCTTCTCATGCCTCTCTTGGCACTCTTTTATCAGTGCCAAGAATCCAATTACTGATCATAAGGAGCCTAGAGCAGTTTCCCCTGCATCTGGTGGTATATTTTTCTGTAAGAAATATAAGATACAATTAAGAGTGACTTGAACACTGAGAAACATTTCTTATCTCACATAACAGAAGCTCCTGAAGTAGGGCGATTATTCCAAGATTGGATAATTCAGTGCTTCAGCAATGTCATATGGACTCAAGCTCTTTCATTTTTAACCTTTGCCTTCCTCAGTGAATCAGCTACTGTCTTCATGGCTATAAGGTGATACAGCAGCTCCAGGCTTTATGTGCCCATGCAACAAAGTCCTTATTTCCTCTTTAACAGCCAGAAAACATCTCCCAGAATCTCTCATCCAATATCTGACTCTAGAACCAATTGTAAATTCTTATTTTTGTTTGTTTGTTGATAGGAATATAGCCAAACCTCACTTTTCTTATATTTAATGGAGAGATAAAATAATATAGCTACCTCATTGGGTTATTGAAAGGGAAATGTAGGTTAGTATACATAAAGTTCTTAGAGTAGTATCTGGCAGGTAATACACACTCTCTAAGTGTCAGCTACCATTGTTTTTATGATGATCCTTACTGTAATGTATTTAATTTAACTCACATAAACATGAGAGGTAAGAAAATATAATTTAAAAAAACCACATCAGTAAAAGGTTTAGTCACATTGTATTATTTCTATTGATATAATTTGGATATGATATCTGAGAGATGTAGTTAAGAATCAATTTGAAGACTACTGTCTCATTTAAGATATATCTATAATCTGTATCCATTATCTATATGAACATCTATATCTATGTTTTTAAAGTTGTTGTTCACATAACTAAAAAACTAAAAATCAGAGGCTGATCTCAAGCCAGCCACATTGACTTCATGAAAGCATCTTGGTTTGACTCTTTTAGAATCAGGCGATATACATGTCTGCAGAGCAGATATAGTGCATTTAGGCATAAGGATAATTAAACTGGTATCTATTTTGTTGGATTTTATTGTTAAGTTCCTCAGTGAACATTTAGAAAAAAGGGAAATGGGGAAATGGTCTCAATCTATTCAGATCATAAAAATCCCATTTGCCATATTCTTCCATTAGATATAAAATATACTAGTGCTAAAAAATACATTTAATGGTGCCATTACAATCCAGTTCCTTACATATAGTTCTTTAAAATTTTTCAATTGCAATTATAAAATTCCATTTCATTTTCTTTCTCTAAGGTTTAATCTCATCATCCAGGCTACCATATCTTGCTTATATGAAACTCTCCAGAATGTAGTAAAATTAAGATACAAAGAGTAAAGTTCCACTGTCATGGAGATAAGTTTTCCTGAAACCACCATTCTGTAACTTGGCATCCTTGGATAGGCTGTGAATCCTCTGAAATGGAACATAAAATTTAAAATTTCCCCGGAAATCCTTTCTTTCATATCACTTTTCCCCTTCCTTATATATATGCTGTCTAAGTCATCTGTGGGATCTTACCCATCAGCATAAAATGGCATATTCTTTCCATTTTAACAATGTGAAACAACAGAAAACAGCTGTAATTCTAGTTCTCTTCAAACATTGCCCAAACTCTGTCACTTACTTTATAGGAAAATGCACTTACCATCTCTAAATTCCTCCCATTTAGTCTTGAAGGCATTCCACTGAAACAGTCCTTTGAAGGTCACCAATGACATCCTCGTCATTAAATCTAAAGGTCTATTCTCAGTCTTCATCTTACTTGATCTATCAGCAGCATTTGCCGGTTGATCACTGTACGCTTCTCAAGACAATTTCCTCACTTGACATCCAAGACATTACACTCCTTTTTATGCTTCTCTCCCTCTCTCTCTTTCTCTGAATGTGTTGGCGTGTGTGTATATCTCTGTCTCCATCCGTCTTATCTCTCCTTGTCATCATCAATTGTTGGTTCATCCCTCTGACTGATCTATCTTCTAAATGTTGGAATGTTCCTGGGTCCACTTCCATGATGATTTCACTCAATATCATGATTTTGGAGACCTTCTATCCTCTACTGAACTCCCAAGTTTCTATCTTCACCTAGGACTTCTCTTTCGTAGGTCATACTGAGTTGTACAAACATCTATATCTCCACATAGAGTTCAAATAGGCATCTTGAGTTTGACAAGTCTAAAACTCAGGTATTTATATACTACCCATAAAAAATCCTGTTTCTCTCCAGACCCCCCATTTCAGCAAATGGCATTTGCATCATCCCAGCTTTTCATACCAAAAGCTTTGAAGTTATGCTGTACCCCTCTCTTTCTATCACACTCAGGAGCCAAACTATAAGTCTATATAATTAATTCTATCTTTTAATTGCGTTCAGAAAATGACTGCATTTCACACACACATGCACACGCGCGCGCACACACACACACACACAATCATCCTGATAGAAATCACTATCATTTTCCCCACTTACTTATTTCATTTGGCTCCTAATGATCTCTCTGTTTCCAGCTTGGCACTCTTTCACACCCCTCAACACAGAGAATGAAGTTACATAAGTCAAACCACTTCATCCCTTTGCTCTAACCTTCTGGTGACTTTCTATCTCCATCAAAATTAAAAGCCTAATTTTAGAATCCTTAACCTTTAAATAAAATAATATGTTGACATAATTCTACTCTTTTAAGGTATTAAAGGGAGAAAAATCTCTGAAAAGCTAAAATATTTTTTAAAATGAAGGAAAACATAAATCTAAAATTTAATTTGGGTTGATGAAAAATCAGTTGCAACTTATACCACATTTCTAGATAGATTGCCTCTTCAATCAGATATTAGAAACTCTCCTGCCCCTTCAGAGTAATTTTCATATAATTAAAGTGAGAAAAACAACATTTTGGAAATACCTATTATGTTTATTTGCTTGTACTTTTATTTTTTAATCTTTCATTTCACAGATGGTGTCTACCTTCTAGGATATAAAAAATATGGAAGATTTATAGGTTTCAGTATTTCTTAATTCTACCTACTAAAATTACTGGAAGCTTAATACTTTTTTTAGGTATTGGGATGCCTAACAAGGTTAAATAAATTGAATCTAGCTGGAACCTGATATGAATACTATGTTGACAATTCCAGATTTTTCCTGATGCATTACAAATTATAATAAATGGACCTATCAGTCTTAGTTTAGTCAAAGCTACTTATATCAACTTGGCACTTACTGTTTGCCTGAAAATTTACAGGACCATCTTCTTCATGTTGGTTTCCAGTATGATATCTGACAACAATATCTTCTGTTCTTTAATATCCATAACTTAGGGTGTATATTGCAATTTGATTAACATAGATGTACATTATTTCAATCCATTCCTAATTTGCTCTGTGTTAAACTCGTATTTAGATTATAAACTTCTCAGGGACAATTTCTTTCTTGGTAGCCCCATAGTGTTTGGTACCATAAGTATTCAATAACTTTTCTTTTTAATTGAATACACATGCATACTATGACAAAATGTAGTTTCTATTTCTGAGCACCCCAAAAAACTGTAGCCAAGAGACATTTAAATGTACAAAACTGACATTTTGTGCCAAAGGCACAAATCAGGATAAACAGCTTTTCTTAATTTTTTTGGTAATGATTCTAACATTTTTCTCTTGTTTTTAATTACTTTTAGCAAGCTCTCTTTCCAAGATTGGCTCAGATCCTCTAAAACTTGTACATGATGCTGTGGAAGAAACCACGGACTGGGTCTATGGCTTCTTTTCTTTGTTGTCTGACATCATCTCGTCTGAGGGTGATGAAGATGATGATGATGGGGATGAGGACACTGATAAAGGTACAAAGAGCATAGAGACACAACTAACTTCTCAGACTGATATTAGTTATGCATTACAGTGGTTTTCTTAAGTTTAAACACAGAGGAACACTTGGGTCAGGCTAAACCAAAATGAATACACTTCTGAGTTCTAATAGCATTATCAACAGGCTGCCAAACTCAGAAAATTCATCTCTATTTGGCTTTCATCTTACAGCTTATCTGCCATTATGGCAGGATGTCAAAATTAAATGCTACCATTAGGGTAGCATTAGAGCAAGAGAGGGTCTTACTATGCACTACTACAAATTCACAATAGTACCTCACACTTATATGCATCCTTGGGGAAAAAAATGTAGCTATTTCACAAGTTTATTTTTTAGGAAGACTGAAATAATAACAGTAACTGATAGACATGTTTTATACATGTAAGTCATACTCATGATCAAATAACAAAAAGCAATCCCACTAAAATCATAATCAGAAGTAAATTTATGGAACCAAATGGAGGTGTAGAATGGAGGGTCATAGTCTGAAAGTGACAAAAATTATGCAACTAACCTATGTACTCTCTCACATATTAATAAGCAAAAGGAAATAAACCCCAACCATACATAAACTACTGAGTGGATGTGAAAAGAACAACGCATTATGGTTCTTTTACATGAAATTTTTTAGAGTCAGCCTTAGTCATCAGAAATCATGTATTCAGCCTTGACTACCAGGAAAGCTCTTATTATTTTAGCCCTCTCTATGACTTTGTCTGAATTTGTATTTGTTTGGCCCCAGCGAGAGGTCGAGACGAACAATAGAGAACTGAAATGAACATGATATATGAACTATAATGTATAATTTGGATGGCTGCCACGATTTTATTGAACTCATAAAAGTGAAACTATCTCACATAAATGTACATAAACAAAGTTTATATTTAAAAACTGGAATTTGGGAGGCAAAGTAATATAAGGACTACTAATGTCAAAACTAATAGATGGCTTTTTTAATGAACAAAAGGAAATGGGAAAATAGAGAGGCAGTATTATGCTATGCTAAAAGTTTTTCTAATTTACTGTTTTTGTCTTGGTTTAGGAGAAATAGAGGAGCCTCCCTTGAAACAAAAAGGTTGGTTGTTTTCACCTTTAAAAATATTTTTTTTTCTTTTATGGCAATGTTGGTTTTCAGCGTGACTCAAATATGTTTACATGAGTTGTAGCCTTAATTTATTTTTAATGCACAGTTTTTGTTTGTGATTAGATCAAGATCTATAGTTAGGTAGAGGAATACTCGATTCTTTCCAGTGAACTTGATCCCACTATTTTTAAGTTGATTATTTAGTTGATACCTTCTTCAGTAGATGTACAAATCCATCTACACACAGATCCATGTGACTTGGAATTGAAGGAATGAAGAATGAATTCTGTAGCCTCAGAAATGGTCCAGAAGATGATGATGCCCATGATCTTTATTCTCACTGTGGCCAGATTTATTAATTTTACATTTTTGTTCATTTTCTCCTTATTTTATTGGCACTATTAATAGTCTTCATTTTTAGGTGATGAGTAGGGGACAGGCTGTGTGAAATAGTATAGAAAAGAGTAATCTTGGAGGCAAAGACATATCCAGTCAGTACGTGTCATGTATCATCCCCAAGGAATAGTTACCTCGGTATAATTGGATGTGGAATAGAAAGATTTCTTGCAGAAATATATCTTGCTAGGTGCGTCAGTAACTGACTGGGGTGATCATAAATCCAGAAAAATGGAAGCAATGTGACTAAGAAAAAGGGGTATAGCTATGGGGCAAGAGCCTCACAGGGGCAAATGTTTTCATATGAAGGAGAAAGAATTTCTAGAAGGGACAAGGGGAGACGGGATACCATCCCTGAGGCATATTTGGTGGTGTCAAAAAGAAACAGTCAACACATGGCCAGACTTGATACAATTGTGATGTTTTAGTTATTGCTGCACCTGTTTAGCAGCAGGCTTTTGGGAGTGTTTACTCCAGTGGAGAATTTGCTGGCTTCTGTTGCTATCTGCCTAGACCTACTGTAGATGCAAACAGTGGGATCCAAATTTGGAGCTTCAGCCTTGTCTGAGCAGATGATGATTATCTCATTATCTGGGGTAAAATCCACTTAGTGTATGTTAATTTGGAAAATTTGAATTTGTAACTTGTCCAACAAATGAGAGCTAAACTAGTGAAACTCCAATCTAGAAAAGCCAGAAATGAAAGTGCTTATGAAGTTATTGAGGAAGAAGACAGGTTTCCTGATCACAAATCCAGGATCCACAAAGCCAGTGCTCAGCCATAAAATCCAGGTTTAGAGACTGTAAATTAGTTTATAAACTTGAGGTTAAAAACAGTTTTTTAATAGCTGACCTCCAATGGATAGTGCATGGAACATAGTAGAAGTTTAAGCTAATGAGTTACTAGTCATTATCAGGAAACAACAGCTTATGTAGAATGTGTGTTCCAATTAGAAATGGAAGGAGAAAAATAAATAGTATTTTCTTACTTGTAAATTGAATTTTACAAGAATGTCATAAGATCATATTCTCCATAAATCAATATCTAGAATTTAATAAAGAATCTGTTCTTTTCTTTTGATTTGAATTTCCCTGTGGGATTATTTTTAAATTGTCTCTTGTGATGATTAGCATAAATTGCAAATCCACACAAAGCTGTTTAATTATTTTTTTAATTATTGCTTTGTTTTATAACACCAACAGAAAAACTATTAAATAGTTTTTAAGGATACTTTTGGAAAAGATGTCAGTAATACTCATTAGTTAAAACAGTCTAAGTGATATGTGTTTAAAACCATGTACACGAACGTCTTGAAAGATTACTGAAAGAAGTGACTAAAAACCATCTGAATATATTTTCGTAATAATATTATTCACAAAGTTGCATGAGAAAATGGACTTCTAAGGAAAGATCTTATATATCCTACTTTGGGTAAAGAAACTATGTAATAGTGAACATTAGTTGAAGTGGACTGAAGGAAATATAATTCATTATAATTACTGTTTTTATTTATTTATTTATTTACAGGCTTTGCCTTTGTAGTGTCATAGAGGTGATGAGAATTTTAAAGAAGTGTGTAAAATTTTGTGGAACATTTCTAATTATATTCTGCATTCAAAAGCATATTTTAAATAGTATTATTAGAGAAGAGATACAATGAACTTATCCCTATTTTATGATGGATTGTTTTATACATTTTCATATTTAAAAATTGTGGTTTAAGAAGCATATATTTTTTGATAATCTAGAATGACAATCTCCTAAAACATTTGATTTTCATCCATTTAAATGACACTTTACTGATCTCTTCATGAATACTCTCTTTCCCATTCAGATATAGTCAATAATATTTAGTCATTTTATATTACCTAAATTATCAGGCTATGGTATTGTTTACTTAACTGTCCTGTGTCTTTATGAAGCATTTAATTTAAATGCACCTCTGATATTAGTTTCGTTTATCGAGCTGCTATTTTCACCAAAATAAAAACTCAACCACACTATTATTTATTTATAGGTGAAGTTCACAATTCTAAATTGATGTGTAATAATGGTACAGTCAAATAATCTCAAGGTTGCAGGATTGATTATTAAATAGATTATTAATATGGATGAAATTTTGGATCTGCAATTCTGTGGCTTATGTTATTATATATAAGTACAGTTTTAGGGTATTAGATCTAGGGTCTTTATGCATCTTTATTCTTCAGCTTGTCAAAATTTTTAAATGGTAAATTCTATTATCAAACACTATATGATGAGAATCCAAGGCACTGAATCATTATAAAATTTTATATTTTTATTTTATAATTATTTAAAACTCACAATTATGAAAAACAAGTACCATTGTAAATCATATTTCTTGAAACAATTATGTGTTGTGTATGGTAGGTGTGCTTTGTTTATCCGGAATCTCCTGCTGTGTAGCTTCTTTGCAGTAGGGTATACATCATGGGTGTTGACTCCCCACCTTCCAAGGGGCACATAAGTACAGGTAGCTATAAAAGAATGAAACTATTTTTGCATACCATCCTAAAATAGATTTGCCTGAAAACACATCTAAGTTCATAATAGTGCTTCTACTTTACAATATAGAGAAATAGCCTTTACCCATCCTAAAATTGCTGGAATGCTGACCAAAAAGACCAATAGGCCTTTCTGCTCCGTCCTGCATACATCTGCTAAAGGAGAACCATGGTGTTGATACACAAGTGCTATTTTTTTGTGATGGGATGGTCTAATGCCAAAGAGATGATGGAGTAGAGGAGACTGGAGCAGCAAGAAGTTCCATTTAATAATGACTTTGCCTTTTATTTAGCTGAATAATGTGAAGGATTGCATTGCTCTTGAGGGAGGTTCCCATGGGAGCAAAGCAAAAAAAAATATAGATAGGAAATAATAGGAGCTAAAAATGGCTTTTAAAAATTTAAATGTAAGTAATTCTTTTCAAGTTATTCTCAATACTCGATCTTAGGAAGTGCCATTGGCTTGAAAGACAACCAAAGCTGTGTAGGTTAGTGACACTGATTCTTTTAAATGTAATGGGGATATTTTCTGAAACAACTAAAGTTTTAAAGGTGCATTGACTAAGCCCATAGATGCCACATTTCTGTGATGCCTTTCATATTAATTCTGTATTGTCCAAAAAGGAATGTAAAACATACTTTATGTAAATATATGTTAAACATGTACTCTGATTATAGTCAAATGCCATCTTATTTCATCTATTGTAAGCTGTTTAATATTTTGTATCTCCTATTGACAAAAAATTAAGTCATATGCTACTTGCAGAACCAATTTACTCTATGTATATGCACATATATGAAAGTATTATGTATATATGCATAATACATTATGCACTGTTTATTCATTATATGTTATGCAGTTTATATTTTTTACCTCCTATTAATAAAAAATATAAACTATATGCTAACTATTGGTTCTTTATATATATATAAAAGTATATATTTAATACATATTCTCTTTTGCATAATAATTATACAATTTTATGGTAGCTAACAAAATTATTAAAGTTATTTCTTTTGTATCTGAAACTTAACTATTTAGTCCCCAAAATAAAACATTAGAATTTGATATCCCGGGAATCCCTGGGTGGCTCAGCTGTTTGGTGCCTGCCTTCGGCCCAGGGTGTGATCCTGGAGACCTGGATCGAGTCCTACATTGGGCTCCCTGCATGGAGCCTGCTTCTCCCTCTGCCTGTGTCTCTGCCTCTCTCTCTCTCTCTCTCGTGTATTTCATGAATAAATAAATAAAATCTTTAAAAAAAATTTGATATCCCCTTCACACATATACTGATGAAATGTTAAACTCTTTATCATATCTTAGTTTCATAAACAATTAAAAATTTTACCTATATATTACATGACATTATTACAAATAAAATAATGTACAATAGAATATTGATTTATCTGGTTTTTATAACTTGTTTTCAAAATAACCTTATTATATTAAATCTACCTCATTTTAGTCTTTTCATCTACTTTTATTTTATTTTATTTTTTCATCTACTTTTAATAACATGTCTTCCAGATGTGTTGCAAAATTTATTCTTTCTTAATAATTTCCTCAAGACGCAAACTAAAATCTTTTGAACTGCAAAACAAAAGTTATGTTTTTGAGAGACGTAAATTTGATTTGAGTAAGAGGTTTGAAAACAAGGGCTGGTTTGCTCATTACCTAAGACGGTAAACATTTTTTATAAATAAAGTGAGTAGCATCCAAGGTTTAAACGAACTACACCTAAAGCAAGACATACATTTAAAAGTACATAGAATAATCTCATTTTATCCAAAATCATTATAATTTACAATATTTTGATTTTTCTTTACCCTTTCTGAATATATTGGTTGGTTACACAAGGTACTTCTGAGTGAGAGTAGTAGAAATATCTAGGAGTCATTTTGAGAGTCTGATAAAATCATTTGACTTCCAGGAAATTCGGAAAGTGAATGACTCTCAGAATAGAGTAACAAATCTTTTGCACATCATGTGTTTTTCCAATTTTTGTTTCTAATATAACTGAAGGAGACATTAGTCAGTTACTCAGCTGAATGATCATTTAAAATACATTTTTT